GGGGCTGCGCGTGCACGTGTGCCCGCGAGGAGGGGGCGCCCCCGCCGCAGCTGCGGGCGGATCCGCGTGGGGGCGGGGCCTGTTGCCTAGCGACCTCCACCTTGGGGAGCGAGTGTCGCGGAGTCGCAGCCTGCAGCGTTGCGGAAGTAGGTTACTGCAGCGCGCGGGTTGACGCACCCCCTGGAGATTTAGGACTTCCCGGAAATGAAGATTCGAGGGTTTAACTGGACTGTGATCGTCAACCTCTTAGCCAGTCGTCTGCGCAGCCCTCCTGTCTTCAGATCGCAGCCCCCGTGTCCCATAGCTATGCGTGAGGAGGCTTGGCCCAGATGCCCTCCAGCTTCACCTAGCTATCCATTCCCCTTTCGGATTAGTTCTGGCTTCCTCTTCAGAAAACCAGCCCAGAACCTCTCTGCCGGGATTAGGAGGCCCCTCGGTCCTCCCCAGGTACTCGATGCCGACGATCTCTTAGTAGTTGTCCCTCCTGCAAGTCTGAGCTTCCTGGAGGCAGTGCCAGGTCTCATTTGTCTCCGTGTCCCCAGCTCCCAGTGTGGGGTTTGGCATTGGTTAGCCCAGTAGTTACGCAGTGTCTGTAGCCTGAATGGATGAATTTCTGGGCATCTCATGGACTTTGGGGTGGAGGGTTGGGTCACCTTGCCTTGGGTCCCCACTGCAGCATTTAGCTGCACACTTGCTCTAAGTGCAGAGACCTCACACAGGACTCTGGGAACACAGCCCTCGCTGAAACCCTCAGAAGCTTCACACACTGCATCCCGCCCTCATGTAATCCTCCAGCACCATGTGAAGGGTATATTACCATCCCTGTTGTATAAAGGGAAGCCCAGCAAAGACAGGGATGGTCCCCACAAGCACGCACAGCTCCATGTGGAAGTGGGCCGAAGTCACAGAGAGGGCGACATACATCCCTGGGCACCAGCTGTAGAGTTCGTATCCATTTTGTCCTGAGTTACCACCCTGAGACTTTGAACACAGGACACATGAATGCACCCAAGTTTCTGGGTAAATTCCAGCACAGCATAGGGAGATCAGTCTAAAGCCTCCCTGTACCACCCTCCACTCCACTGAGCAGGTGCCCTTCTGGATTTTGGCTCCTCAAACCCTTCTGGACAAAAGCCTTCCCACCATGACGTTCTGTTTTTATAGAATGGATGGGGCTGTTCTGCACTCTGTTGGAAACAAAATGCACACCTCTGAGCCCAGGGCAGCAGTGCGATCCTCTCCTTGCAGCCCTGTGGATTCTCACAGCTCCTTTCACTTGGGCACTGTGGTCCCGGTGGGCCTGGGCCTAGACCCTCTTGCTAGGCAGCTTCTCGGAGACCCTAGAAGAGCCAAGGCTACCTCTTCTTAGCCAAAGTCAGGATCTTTGGACCCTGCTCTTCCTCCTTGCTTATTGCTAGCTGTGTGCACGCAGGCATATCACGTGACCACAGCAAGCCCCCCCCCCCCCCTCGTGTCGGGAGAGTTGG